ATTGATAATATTATATAATATTTTTATTTAATAATATATAAAAATTATAAAAATAAATTGTCAGAATATGATTACTTTATTATTATTATTATTATTATGAAAAACAAAAGAAGTGGACGAGTTTCAAAATTCCCGCTTAGGTCGTTGTCTTCGACGTTTGGCGCCATCGTCTAGACTGAATAACTTTCCTTTTCAAGTGTTTGGTTCCGTTTCCGTTCCACACGTTTTAGGGCCAAACACTGAAACACGCCCAAACTGTGTTTAGTTTACAGATAATAACATGTTAAATTCTAGAGGCCGAATAGTCTATTTTTTCTTTACATATTATTATTTTTTATTATCAATATTTTTTAGAATTTTTATTTATAATTAATAATTTTTATAATTTAAAACCTATAAAAAAACTTAAAATTAACAACTAAATCACATGTAAATCAATATATAAATAGGAGGTTTAGTAGTTAATTTTTGAATTTTTTTTATAGGTTTTAAATTTTAAATATTGTTGTTTGAGAGTAGAAATTTTAGAAGATATTAATTAAAAAAAATAATAGTATTCAAAGTACAAACAAAGAGTTTAACCAATTCTAAAAAGTAATTTTTTTCTTCATTTATAAGAAAAAAAAATAATGCTTAAAGCATAAATTTTCTTTTCTCACTAGTTTGAGAATTTAATTCAATATTGCTAAAAGGAAGTACTGTTCACTCCCAAAGGAATTAAACTTGTGACTTGTGAGATACGGAATTATTACCACAAAGAAGTTGGAAAATAAGCTCCCACCCACTATTCTTTTTAGGTTAAATATCTAATTTGGTCTCTAAACTTTTATTTTTAAACCAAATCTACCCTCAAATTTCAATAGGTAACAAAATTATCCTTGAACTTTAATTTTTGGTACCAATTTTGTCATTCTGTCAATTAAGTGATGACATGGCTAAATATTTTGTTAACTAATTCAATTTCATTTAATATTGAATATTAGGAGGAAAGAAACTAGGTGATATGATATATTTTGTAGTCTATGTGGCAATTTTTAAAAATGATATGAATTTTATTAAGTTAAATTTAAATTTAAATAATCATTAAATAACTTTGATTTGGTTAAATTCTCAATTTGCCCTCCCCATCCCTTCTTTTTCCTCATCCTTATTCCTTCACCCAACCTCTCCTCACCAGCTCACCTAATCAGTCCGACGATATATGAGCCTCGTTCTCCGACGAGGCTCATGGGTCGGGGTTCAACCTTGGTTGATCTAGCCTTTTCTCACTCTCTTCAATGGACCTCCAAACCCCTTCTCCTCTTTTGTTCCCTTAACTTTTCTCCTATTTACCCTTCCTTTTCCTAAACATTAGATGTGCATGAGGTGACTATCCAATCAAATGTGAACTTTCATCTTATTTCTCTCTCTCTTCTCCTTTATGGAAGGATGGGCCAACGAGGAACCCAAATTTGGATTCCAAATTTGTCATAGGTCAGGGTTCAACCTTAGTTTCCTTTGGCTTTTACTTTGAATTTAGGTTTTATTTCTGGGTTTGATTTGTGGGAATTTTGTGTACATAAACTTAGTTTTGTTGATGAGACTTTCCTCCATGAAAAGTATACTAAGGAGATTGGGAATGTTGGTTGAGGAAGATTGAGCCATGGGAGAAAGGAGAAAGAGAAAGGAAGGAAGGAAGGAAGGAGAGGGAGGAAGAACACCATGTTGTCGTCGTCATCAAAGAAGGAAAAGCCAATAGTGCACAAAGAGAAAGGGTATGATCACTTGGAGATTAGATTTAGGGTTTCCTGTGTTTTTAAAATGTATACATTGGGTAGTGAAATGGTGAGAATTGGGTTAGTGATTAAAATTTGATTAAAATGCCATCTAAGAATTAAAAATGTCACATCATCACACCTTTTGCCTCTTTTTTTTCACATCATTATTTTTTTAAAAATAGTGTGATTTTTTGGCAATTTAACTTACCAACGGGCACTTCTATCAACGAAGAACTAGATTGGTACTAAAAATTAAAGTTTGAGGATACTTTTAATATTTTTTAAAGTTCAAGGATAAATTTAATTTAAAAATAAAAGTTGAGGGATCAAATTTGAGCAGTTAACTTTCTTTTTAGCGGTGACTAAGACAAAAATATGGACGAGTGGCTATAAATAGTTCAATTTCAATTAGTGCAATTCTTTTGCTTCATTATAAGGGCCCACGATATAGAAAGGTAACAAAAAAAAGGAAAAGTAGTCATGACCACTTCAATACAAGCATAATATATATTTGGACTTTTGGAATTATGAGGTGTCTAAATCATTCTTTACTTAAAAAAAAAATCTATTTCAGGGCCAAGTAGTTGGTGTGTCGATCACGAGCGGTACTGTGTAGCACTGAACCAAGAAAATATCCACTTCCATTTCTTTCACGAAAAATATTTCTCATCCACTTATATATAGACACATCTCTTCCAACCACGTGAAAGAAAAAAATGACATGAAAGAAACATGTTTCACTAGCAAATTTGATAAAGGTCGGTAGAAACGAACATGTTTGTATGGAATTGGACCATAGATTTTGTCTTTACCACAAACTTAATATTAATGTTTGTGCTTAAAATCAAAGTAGGGTTTACCAGTAAACATGTAAAATCAAAGAGGGGTGTGGACTGTGGAGGGTCATGGTCCTCGCCCAATTCGAAGGGCATGGGAATTATTGAGCAACAGGACCACTTCCCATCACTCTTCATCAACTCGCTCCTCCACATGCATATTTGTCTTCAATCTAGACACATTGAGGTAAATAATAACATTTTAACCTTCAATACTTGTGTGAGCAAGAAAACGTCTCAATTATTAAAAACTTGAGTATCGATATTAAAGGTTTTAATTTGAATGTTGAGATACGATGAGAATTTGTAAAATAGAAGAGGTGATCTTTTTGTATGACCCAGCGTTGCAATGCTGTTTACACATGCGATGGTTAGTTTGTTTTCTCGGCTTGCATAGTTCTGGACCATATGGCAACCAAGGCCCAATTTGAACTTGATCTTCTAAATTTCGGCCTCATAGCCCAGAGCGGTTAACTTACCAGTTACCAGCCCAAGTATGGTCTATTGATAGTGGACCCGAGCCCATGGTTGGAAATTTTAGGTCAAAACAGTGTCGTTTTATAGCAGTGATTTTGCCGATTGTAAAACCCTATCATTTCCTGAACGGACACATTAAACCCCTACTATATTCAGTGTTCTTTTTCCATAATTTCCGGCCAAAAGAAACATCGTTTTCCCTGCCGGCGATCGGTAGCTTGAGGATATAAATATAATGCCTATTAAACTGCCGCCGCAGCTCCGTCTCCTTAGCTCTTCCCGTTTCTCCACCGGAGCATCTTTTCGGTCCTACCGGGCCTCAACTGCTTTCTGTCGGATCTTCCCTTTCAGGCTCAAACATCTATGGTTGCCTCCCCGCATCAACGGTCAGCCTGGAGTGCGGAGATTATCAACCCGGTCGTTTCGTCCCAGACCTGGGGCAAGCTCCGGTTTCACTCGCGGTAGCAGAGAGAATGCTCGTGCATCGAAAAGCCTGATTGAGGACGAGACCGAACTCAATGACATGGTCGGCTACTTGAGGACCAACTCGTTCTCTGGCCGACTTACCAGCGAAGATGAGGATGACAATGCAGATAGGGCTCGCAATAGAGCGAGGAGTAGAGACAGTGAGAGAAACAGGGGACAGGGGTCCTTGAAGAAGAGGAGAGAGAGTGAATGGGACGATTTTGGTGAGTCAAGTAGGAGGAAAAATCGTAGCAACTCGGTAAACTCATTTTCGAGGAGTTCACGTTATGGTAATGGGTTAGATGGTGAACTAGAGGATGACGACGACGACGACGACGATGATAATGCGGAGAAATTTTATTCTCGGAAAAAGGGTTTTGCGACTAAGAGAGACAATGGGAATGCTAACTCATGGAGGGGAAAGAGAAATGAGGGGAATTTGGATTCGAGAAATCTAAGGAAAGGGAGGATGAATTTGAGAAGAGAAGCAAAACACAGAGAGGAGGAAGAGGATGGAGTTAGTTTTGAGGAGGAGAGAAAGAGGGTAATGGGTGGTCTTGGGGAATTGCTTAGCGAGGAAAGTAGTAGTGATGTTGATGAGGGTGAAGACGATGATGATGAGGTCTTTATGAAGAACGTCAGTTCTGCATTTGGATTGGAAAACAACAATGTGAAGGGTGGACAGAGAAGTTCAGCAAGGAAAACTGACTCTTATTTAAGCGAAACCAGGTATTTTGTTAAAATTTTTGTTCCTTGTTTTGTTTTTTTACCTTTTTTTTTCTTTTATGTTCCATTTTTATCATACGGTTGGCAATTTTTTTTTTTTTTGGTTGAAGGAAGAGCAAAAGAAAGTTATATAAACATGGCCTTTTGAGTTTATAGATAAACTTAACTAGATAAATGAAAATCTTATTATGGAGAAGGTATGGCTGGGAAAAGACAACAGGAGGGGACAAGGCAAAAGGGAGATGCATTTTGAATATATATATATATATATATATATAGGTTAAGAAAGAGTTTGAATGTTATCTTGATTTTTAGCATGGTGCGAGTGTTACTTGATATAAGATGAGTTGTTCTTTGCTGTCAAAGCAGAAGGACGAAAGGAATGTAACTGGTGAGTGCTTTTTGTGCAACCCATCCTTGAATGATGGAAATGGATCAAAATATATAGACTGTTCCTATACTTAAATGGAACGTCATAGAAAATGTGGCATTATCATACAGTTGTTATGTATGATTCTGCATTGTATACAGTGATTTGGTGAACATTTTCTTAGACTTTGTGCTTCAGTAGTTTCCTTTTATTTAGTATGACCTTTTATAAATATCATTTTTCTGTTACACCTGCAGATTTGACCAGTGTTCAATCTCTCCCTTGTCATTAAAGGGAATTAAAGATGCTGGCTATGAGAAGATGACTGTGGTGCAAGAGGCAACTCTTCCAGTAATACTCAAAGGTTGAGTTCCTTCTAACATTGTTAATAACTAGAACCTTTAAAGAAATGAAGTTTTTGGATAAATACTTATTTTGCTCTGACGCTTATATGAAATTATGAATTTGTAATTACCATGTTCAAATTTGTTCTAGAGATGTAACAACTCTGGTTTCATCTCCCATGCTGTTAAACTAACTGTCGAACTGTAGGGCCTTACTATTTGAATGTAATAGATTAATGACAATGGAGCTGTTTTAAGGATTAATTGTGGGTTTCCCTTTAAGATATCTGCAAGGTTCATCTTTGGGTTTATTTCACTGTAGCTTGCTATTCTATAGTTTCCAAAAATTAAAGCCTTGTTTTGAGCTGCTACTTAATGATAGTGAATCTTAATAAAACCAGTTAAAGTTTCTTTCTTCTTTTCAACATCCCTATTTAACTTTCTATTGTATGTGCCTGCTATATCTTTCATTCCATGTCCTGATGGTAGTTCTGAATAATTTTGTGGTATAGGTAAGGATGTACTGGCTAAGGCCAAAACAGGCACAGGGAAAACTGTAGCATTTTTGGTAAGATGTTATTTCTCACTATTCAAGAATTACAGCCAATACCTCACCTTCGTGTAGGAATCCACCACGTGTGTGATTCTCTGCCTGTTTACCAATGGAATGTTGTCTGCAGACGTCCTCAGTAATGTTCCTCAAAAGTTTTCCAAGGACCTTTGATTGTAATTGCATTATCAATATCATAAAAGCTTCCTTTCAGCTTTCTTAAAGTTAGGACATTGCTGTCATAAACAGTTATTTTTTCAACGAGGAAAAAGAAAACATAAAATTATATATTCACAAATCAAACATAGAAATTCCCTGTACTAGTGCAAAATTCCATATTTTATTTTTGCCAATTAGTAGATAGATTGGCATTGTAACTTTGCTTGAAAATTCTTGATTCTCAGCTTCCATCAATTGAAGTTGTAGCAAAATCACCTCCTGTTGATCGTGATGTAAAGCGACCCCCCATTCTTGTGCTTGTAATATGCCCAACAAGAGAGCTTGCAAGTCAAGCTGCTGCAGAAGCTAATACCTTGTTGAAGTATCATCCTACTATTGGTGTCCAAGTTGTCATGGGAGGTACAAGACTTGCTCTAGAACAAAAGCGCATGCAAGCAAATCCTTGCCAGGTGAGTTTGTTATACTGGTGTGTATTCTTGTTCAATTGGTCTCTTGTTGGACACAAAATTGTTAATATGGTAGGATGGTCTGACCTGGGATGAAAATGAGAGAATTCAAATGCTTCGTAATTCAACACTAGAGACTGTCTTTATTTTACACACATTTAAAACTCTCAGATTCTTGTCGCTACTCCTGGAAGGCTCAGAGACCATATTGAGAATACTGCAGGATTTGCAACAAGGTTGATGGGTGTGAAAGTCCTTGTGCTCGATGAAGCTGATCATCTTTTAGACATGGGTTTCCGCAAGGACATTGAGAAGATAATTGCTGCTGTCCCAAAACAAAGGCAAACACTTTTATTCTCTGCAACGATTCCAGAAGAGGTTCTTTTGTAATCCTTAGTGCCTTGATTTGTTTTCTAGTTAAGGAAAATTCTAAAGTTGGAATTTGGTGTGAAGGTTCGACAAATTTGTCATCTTGCTTTGAAAAGAGATCATGAGTTTATTAACACAGTTCAAGAAGGCAGTGAGGAGACAAATACACAGGTAGGTTTTCTCACCATTGTTTGTCATATAATGTCTAATGACATTATAAATTTTCTCATTGTCCCAATTGCTTAAGCGTTGGATTATTTCAGGTCATACAAATGCATTTGGTTGCTCCACTAGACAAGCATTTTCCTCTACTGTATGTTCTTTTAAAAGAACATAGTGCAGATAATGTTGACTACAAGGTACACATTGTAGTCTACGGTACTTAGTATCACATTGGATTTGCTGGAAACTTCCAGTTAGTGTATTTTTGGTTATCTCCAATGTGGTTTTCTTCAAGCCTCAATGCTGCTTATCAACACCATTGCTGTCTTTCAACATTATGTTTAGCTGGCAGTTGGTTTCTGCAGGTCCTTGTATTCTGCACAACTGCTATGGTAACAAGAATGGTAGCTGACCTTCTCAGTGAGCTGAAACTGAATGTTAGAGAGATCCATTCAAGAAAGCCTCAGAGTTATAGAACCAGGGTTTCTGAAGAATTCCGCAAGTCAAAAGGTCTTATCCTTGTGACTTCTGATGTGTCTGCTCGAGGAGTTGATTATCCTGATGTAACGCTAGTTGTACAGGTAAGAGGATGTTATGGCTCTCTTGCAAAGTGAGTTGTTCAAACTGCAGTGCATTTCTTAGGGCATTGTTCTATCAAAACCCTTTTGGACCATTCATATTGGTTTTTCAGCATCCTCATTTAAATATTTATATTTAATTAAAACTTAGGCATTTTCTCTATTTCCTTTCAATGTTTAGTCTTAGTAGATCTTCCTCTCAGTTTTTAATCCTCGTAAATTTTTTCTCCATAACTTATGCTTTCCCTCTCTGTTATTGGTTTTGCCTAACAAAAAATTGTATTTTGTTATGACAGGTGGGCTTGCCGGTTGATAGAGAACAGTACATACATCGACTGGGTAGAACTGGACGTAAAGGTAAAGAAGGCCAAGGCATTCTATTACTAGCACCATGGGAAGAGTTCTTTTTGTCTACCATCAAGGATTTGCCGATAACAAAGGCTACTTTACCTTCAGTAGATCCAGAGACAAAGAAAAAGGTAAAAGCTTGAGTAGAATTTTCCCTTCTTTTCCTTTTTCCTTTGTTAAACCCTCCTAGTAAATATCAACACTACCTTCTTGGCAAGTGATGGTGAGTTTAAATCAAATCTATCGGCAACACTAACGCAATGTTGAACAGGTAGAACGGGCACTTTGTCATGTTGAGATGAAGAACAGAGAAGCAGCATACCAGGCGTGGCTTGGCTATTACAATTCCATTAGGAAAGTTGGAGGGGATAAGTACAGACTAGTGGAGCTTGCAAATGAATTCAGCAGAAGCATGGGACTGGACAACCCTCCTGCAATTCCAAAGCTTATCCTTAACAAGATGGGACTCAGGAATATCCCTGGTTTGCGTTCCAAATAAGTAAAGCTCTCAATTCAAAATTCCTTTCCCTTCTTTGAAACAAACTTTGTTACATTCCCATTTCATCTTGTCTTGTATTTAAATCGTTGGACTGCTTCCTAAAGGACCTATCATATGCTAAATTAATTGCTCGTAAACTGTCGAAAAAAAAGAAAAGAGTAAAGAGAGAGTAATGAATTTGAGTGCTCATAGAAGCACATCATTTTTTTTTACTTTCTGGTTCAACTTATGAAACAATGGAAGTTTTAACTTCCCGATTGATACTGGTACACTACTAACTTTGAACAAAATCAGGTAAAGAGGGCTGCTACTGGACGACTTGCCGACCAAAATTAGTACACTATGTGAGAGAAAATCTTGACAAATTTTAATATCATAGTAAACATGTGTTGGAACCTAAATTTTGAAGCCTAACCACCGAGCGTACCGCCACCCCCTCTGTGTTCTCAACAAATTTAGAACTTTTTGTAATATGGATTTCGGAATTCATAGTGTACATACAAAGCACAACCCAGGATGCATGGGTCACCATCTTCCGAGAAAACCAGCAGTCAGTGAATCAAAGAAATGAATTCTTTCTTCTTCTTCTGAGATGTGAACAAAACGGTGTGATAATGAGAGGTTTTCTCATTAGACAACTCCCACCATCATTCCCTCACCGACTTAGAAAAGCAAGAGGTGGGAAATCCTCAACTTCAATGATAAGTCTTCTGGGCAAATGATCCGACAATAAAATCAAAGTCCCCTGTTAGATGGAAAAAATTGACAGCATTATAAAACAATCCGATTCAAGTAAAAATCAGGGTGTAAAAAGAAAGAAATTAAAGAAATTACTTGCTAACAAATACTGTTATGGCATCCAGCTGAAAATTCAACTTCAATGTCACATAAACAATTTTATTATGGTTTATGGTTGGGACATTAGGCACCAGAAAATTGAGGAGAAGATCAGCCAGGAGTGGGTGATAGCAGGAGTTTAAGTTGGGGAAAGGCAAAGGTGAGGCAGACAGAAGGAAATTTCAACACAGCCCATCGGAGTTGAAATCAAATCACCATCCCACCCATGCTATTCTGAAACCAGCAAATGGCAACTGGAACATTGTATGGATGTGGGGTCCTTTTAGGCCTACTGCAGCTTGGAAGATCTTGTAAAGTATAAACTATCCCATAAAAATGCATTACAAAGAAGCCAATTACCTTTGAAGGTGGGGTGAAGAAGGCTGATCAGGTGAAGAAGGTTGACCAGAGCCACCATGAAACCTTTGCTCAACAAATACACCACCTGACTGACCACCTTCACTTAGCTGTGATGTTTCATTCATGCCAGAGAAACTCACTTGTCCAGGGGAACCAAACTCAAGCTGTTCCGCAGGGGAACCATAACCAGTGGTCTGATCATAAGGATACAGCATGACAAAAAACGGAATGTTGGGGCCATTAGATGACACCCCACTTGGATTCAGGGTTGCTACTGGATGCCTGCCATAGGCTACATTAGCAGAACCACTGTGTGTTGAGTTTAAGCGTACTGGACCATTTTGAGACTGGTATGAAGGAAATGAGTCATTTCTGTGTGAGCCCCAAGGCCTGTCAGTTCGGCTCTCTGCAGCTGCCAACCGGTCAGACCTCGATGTTGGTTTATCAGCTTGGCTGCGATTATGGCTGCGCCCTGCAGCTCGTGGCTTTGAACTCAGATTCAAGTCCCTTGCTCAAATGAACTCTATTTACTACTATATTTAATGGTATTAAATTTTTTATAATCAATAAAATAATTAGATTTGTTAAAATAATTTAAAATTTACTATGCATAATTTACGTAAATAAAATTTTTAATCTAATAGTTAGATTTTAAAAATATTAATCAGAAGATAAGATGTTAAACATATCCTTAAAAAAATGGTTAAAACTCCTTTTTGGTCCCTGAACTATTGTACGGACCTTCGATTTGATCCCTATACTAAAAAAATCCTTGATTTGGTCCTTACTGTTTACCATTTTTACCCCGATTTGGTCCTTCCGTTAAAATATCACCGTTATCTTACGATAATTTAATGACATGTCAAATATTTAAGACACGTCAGTTGTATAAATGAATAAATAATGACATGGCAACATGACATGTCATGTTCTTGCCCAACCCAACAAAAGTGGGGCGCACCAAAATTACGAATTTGCCATCATCTTCTTCCTCCAGCAAACAAACCCAGCACCTGGGTTGAATCGAACCCAACATCGCCCTTTTTTTTTCCTTCCTCTTCCTTGCCTTGCTTTCTTCATCATCATAAAACACATCATCATCAAACACATCATCATCAAACACCAAACCCACAGAAAATATATATATATTTTACCCCCTGGGTTCGAGGAACCCAGGTGTGCTGGGTTCTTCGAACCCACGCCTGGGTTCCGTTGAACCCACGCCTTGGTTCGACAGAACCCAGGGTTGGGTTCCATGGAACCCAGCTGGTTCGCCACTGGGTTCCAAACCTTGCTTTCTTCATCATCATCAAACGCATCATCATCAAACACCAAACCCACAGATATTTTTTACCCCCTGTGTTCGAGGAACCCAGGCGTGCTGGGTTCGACGGAACCCAGGGTTGGGTTCCATGGAACCCAGTTGGTTCGAAGAACCTAGGCGTGGGTTCAAGGGAACCCAGCACCTGGGTTCCGTCAAACCCGGGGTTGGGTTCTATGGAACCCAGCTGGTTCGCCGCTGGGTTCTTTGGAACCCAGGCCTGGGTTCCAAGGAACCCAACCCAGGCAAGCGTGCTGGGTTCGGTTCCTTGTGAACCCAGCGCCTGGGTGGGTTCGAAGGGACCCAGCAGGCGGGGAAAGAGAAGGGAAAGGGGAAGGAGAAAGAGAAAGGGAAGGGAGAAGGAGAAAGAAAAAAGAAAAAAAGATAAAAAAAAAAATTTTTAAGTTTTATTTTTTATAATATTTTTTTATATTATTATTTTTTCCACATCATCACTTTTTGGCTAAATTGTCTGCCACGTGGATTACTATATGACATGTCATTTGGTAACGTGAAGTAACGGGCCACGTCACACAATTTTTAACGGAAGGACCAAATCGGGGTAAAAATGGTAAACAGTAGGGACCAAATCAGGGATTTTTTTAGTTTATGGACCAAATCGGGGTAAAAATGGTAAACAGTAGGGACCAAATCAGGGATTTTTTTAGTTCAGGGACCAAATCGGGGGTTCGTACAATAGTTAAGGGACCAAAAAGGGGTTTTAACCTAAAAAAATTTAAGAGAATGAACTACAAAACTTTTTTTTTCCTTAGAAAAATAATTAAGGTAAGATAATAATTAGCACTAGAAAACCCACAATTTTAAAGTGAGTGAGTTCTACTATATTTAAATTATTTATTAAATAATTAACATCAAAATTTAAAAGGAAAATTTTACGCGGAAATGAAAATTATTCATATT